CTTAACATCTGGGCCTCTCCCTTTTCAAAGCATGCAAAATAGATAAAACACCATAGTCACTCTACCTACCTACTCTGCATCCTAACAGAGAGAATCAGTAGCATAAGTGAAGAATGGAATTTGTAATTTTTAAAAAAATTTCTGGAAGGTTTTTCCACGAGAATATTTCAAAAGCATGATAGACTTGGAATACATAAACCAACCATGCTGAGGTCATATTTTTTTCTCTGTTTGAGAAAGAGTGTCTAGTGGTCTAGGGATTGCAACACAGGGTAGAGAGCAGACATAGTCCATTAATATAAGAGTCATGACAGCATATTGTCGCTCATCTCTATAGCCTCAGAGCATATTGGTTGCTGTTCTCAGTTTAAATACTGTCCCCTGTTTCTCAAGATGAGTTGAAGATGGAAGATGATTTAAAACTGTCTTGCTTAATAAATCTGTTTCTTTGCAATGCATAGATCGAAAAAGGCGGGGGCTGCTTGACAAGCAATTCACCTGTTTGAGCCTCAGATTCCTCTGTTATGAAAATTGAAGCTTGATTTGGTTACATTAATAAGACTATCAGAAATAATTTGAGACAGGTAAATTTAGGACCCACAAAAATAGGAGGAATGCAGTGAGGTAGAAACAAAGCTCAGGGCTTTGAGTCAGAAAGTCTGGTTCAAATCCTTGCTTTGCCATTTACCACCTAGGTGACTTTGGAGAAGATTCTAGATCTGTCTACGGCATCATCTGTAATGCTGAAATGATGGCACCCACCTCACAGTGAAGTTGTGGAGATTAAATGATATAATAAAGGTTATATCAAAAGTTATGGGACAATTGCTCAATAAATGTTAACTCCTATTATTACACCAAGGAATTGCATAGAACTAGATTTGTTGGCAACTGGCAATTAACTGAGAGAAGAAAACAAAGCATTCTAACTTGGAAGTAAATGTGATTCTTTTCCCCCAATATCCATGGTCAGATATTTCCAGTGCTAAAGCCAGAAATAGGCTCTTAGTTCAAAATCATTGCCACAAAGCCATGGGTGGCTATATTAGATTGACTGACTGAGCAATTGGCTTTTTAATTCCAGTCACTCTAGAAGCTGAAATATTTTTCCTCTCTTTGTTAAATTTGAACATGTAATCCAATATGTTTCAAACCCTCGGTCATAATTTTAAAATTTCCATATTTTAATGTGCACATTTCAGGATATATAGATAATGTCTCTTTTTAAGAGCTCCTCTTGGCTAACGTGACATGTGCTCACTTTCCTGATGTAAAATTTCCTCCACAAGGTGAAATATGTTGGGCTAGAAATGAGTCTCTCTGTTTTAAACTTTCTCTAGTTCTCCAGTCAAGAAGTCTATGGTCCCCTCTGCAAGTGACGGGGCATGGAGGACCTTGACGTTGTTCCCATTGTTTCTTTCTGGGCTAGAATTACACAAATGTCCAGTTAATTTTAGAATGGGTATGGCTAAGAACTAAGTAAGGATACAAAAGGAACCAGTGGGCCTCATGTGTCCTTTAAATTTTGATGTTGTGGAAGGGGCGGGGGGAGGAAGGGAAGGGAATTAATAGAATGAACGTAGTATTTGAGGTACTTTGCGTGATTTATCTTTTTGAATCCTCAAAGTAACCCTGGGATGGATCCTTTTTTTAATTAGGTGGAAAGACACAGAGAGGCTAAGTCAGTCGCTCATGCTCACACAGCTAAAAAGAAGTGGCTGTGATAACAACCCAGTTGTAACTACTGAATCCAAACCTGGGTGTGTCTGAGTCTTTGAACTATGTTACCCTGCAATCGAGTTATGATTCACATCACTACATCACTACAGGGTTGGGAATCGTTACTGATTGTTAATGTATTTTTTAGGACAGCAAAGGAATTAAAGGAATAGGGATTCCTTTTATTTGTGGTTCCTACGTGATCTATTATATAAAAAAGTGTGGCAGGGTGCCTTGGTAGATGAGTGTCCTGCCAGTAAAGCAATTTGTGGACTTATTTTTCCTTTTTTTTGGTCAAGACTGTTTGCCAGATTCTTTGACAGGTAACAATAGTAAATCTCCTTGAAGCAGATCTTGTCCTGAGAAAAATCACCTGAGTGGTATCCCTTGTTTAAGTAAGTACAGGGAGAGTATGTCTCGTTGTCCTGGTGTTTTGAGAGCCTTAAGCACCTTGTATGGGGAGTGGTCCTCTGTGAGACAGAGGAAGGGTGTAAGGTGGCAGACGCTGGGACCAGTCCTGGCCCTGCTCTTCCGAGGACAGTCTATGCTCTGAGAACTAACAGCAGTATGTAGGGCCTCAGATAGCAGGTAACATTTGGCGTGCAGGCAGTTATGTACTCACTGGTAAACTAATTTTCCAAAACAAACAAAACAAATAAATTTTTTTTTTCTTTTCCCACCATGGCCAACGTAAAGCTACTAACATGACATAAATGAGTGGGGAGAGACGTGTACATGTTGGATCTGGCCCAGAACCAACAGGCTCCAGCACACCCCTGGGTGGGCATCTATCAAGGTGTGAAGGACTCTGGGCTGAATGTCACATTAGGGAATGAGAGAGTTCCCAGCTTCCCTGCTAGACCCCAGATCTGATTTTCAAAAGCAAGCTTAGCTAGTGTTGTCAGTATTCACCTCTGCTGTAGAGACATGCTTGTTGGTCTCTGCATCTCTGAGCACCAGGAGCAGCACCACGTCAGCATCCTGGGGAGAACTCACTGCAAACTCAGTCTTAACTACCTCTGCACTGTGGGAAGACTGACTCGGAATCTGTCCCATTCTGTCCTACTGAGTGGGGCTCGGTGCTGGAGGTGAGAGCACTTTCTGGGATGGTCCCTGCCCTATTTGACTGGAAATCCCCTTGCTGAAAATACTGGAATGGGCCACCAGTTCTGAAAAGCCACTGCCACTGAGGTTAATAGCTGGGCTGGGCACTTGATCCAGACTTAGCATTTCTCACAAGCGCCCTGAAGCTAGTGTCTGTTGGGAGCTGGAGCAATGAGACAGGAGGAGCCCTATTGGACTCCTACCCCTCAAAAGTGCTCAGAGATTTCTGGATGCATCATGGAGAATGGGGCTGCACATTGCTAAAGGGAAAGGTGGACTTCTGGTCCCGGGGAGAGGTGATTAAAAGATGCTCAGCAAAGAGAATGTATTTGTCCCTGTTGCTACAATCTGTTGTAGGAAGTTGGCAATCGGTCAAAAGCTATCTAACCACTGCAAGTAAATGAAAACAGTTCACCTAACACCCATGAAAATTGTGAGTTTCCTCCCACATACAAAATAATGAGAAATAAAGGCAAAGATGCATATTTTCTTATTTTTGAACTTTTAAAGTTTTTCCAGTTTGGTTTCTGAATCAAAACAAAGAAAAATATGTTTATAAAAGGTATTTCCTTTTCTTTTCCCACCAATGCTCCTTTGTCTTGCTCTTCCCCACTTCAGGGTGTTATCCCAAATCACTGGAAGAGGAAGAATTAATAACACTGAATGGGTGATGAAACGTGTTAGAAAATGTGGCTTCACGAAGAGAAATACTTCCAGGTGAGTCAGAGAGACAATGGCTGGGCGTCTTGAGCAAATCTTGAAAGAGATGAGAAAGCAAAAACTGTTGTTGGGTGGCGTTCTTAAGAAAAAGGCTCACAAAACTACAACCAACTTCTTGTGGATCTCCATTCTTCTGACCACAGCGCTGAATTCCTCAAAGGATATTTTCCCGTCGCCATCCGTGTCCAGGATGAGAATGGTTTTGTCGACCAGCTGCTGTAGCTCCCAGTCCCTCATGTTGTTTCCCACCATCATCTTCAGCACCTGGAAAAGCTCCCCGTTGGAGATGTAGCCATCTTTATCCATGTCGTAGATGCTGAAAGCAAACCTCAGCTTCTGCTCCTCAACTCCTTTGAGGCTGAACTGGGAGGTCCCCCGGATGAATTCCTGGAAGTCCACTTCTCCGTTGCCGTCCGTGTCGAAGATGTCGATCACTCGCCGCACCAGCGGGTTCTGCTGCAGCTCGGGCAGGGACAGGAACTCCTCCACGCTCAGAGAGCCCGATTTGTCCAAGTCCAGCTTCTTAAAGCTCTTGCCCAGCCTTCTAATCTCATCATTGTCAAAGTGGGAGCACATTTCCAGCGGGTAACTGGCCTCGTTCCCCATCGTGGGCGGGACAACGACTGGCAGGCGGAGAAGCGAGCGGAGGGGCTCGCGCGGAGACGGTTTCGCCCCGGTGGGCGGTGGGGTGCTCGTGGGACGCCCCGCGGAGGGCAGCGCAGCAGGGGCTGGGGGAGGGAAGGGAGAGAGGAGGGGAGGAGGGAGGAAAAGGGGGAGCGCGTGCCCAGGAGAGGCAGAGGCGCAGAGCTGGGCTACCTAACCCTCCTCTCTCTCTTCTCTCAATCCTCTTGTAGCTTTCCATTATAACCCCTGTTCCCCTCGCAATTATTTTATCTTACCATTTCCTCACTTTTTTTTTCTCCTGAGAAAGTAAACTCCAAGGGGGCAGGGGACACACCTGTGTTATTCACTGCAGTACCCTGGCAGCACAGTGCCTGACATACAGGATGAGCGTAATAAATGTATGTCAGATGACTGAACTGCAACCAAGGAGTCCTTATGCTTGCTGTACAGGCCCAGTGTAAGGACTAAATGAGATGACAGTCAAAGCATTGAAATTATAAATATTTCCTGTAATTGTCTGGGAGGGGAAGCCAGGACTGACATCCTTCTGTACCTTTTCCAGGACATGGGGTTCAGAGTCTTGGCAAGAGACCACCCAGACATCACACAGACTTTCTTACGTGGATCACCTACGGCACTAACATATTCTTGAATTCCGAACATTCGTTAAGAGTACACAGGTCCCAAGTACATAGCCTCTGTTTATTACTTCAAATCCATCAAAACATGCCCAATCCTCATCTTTGTGGGTTGGTGCCTGGCAGCTGTGTTGCAGAACACTTCAGGGAACAGCTGCAAGGTGCCCAGAGAACCCTTTTGTGTGCGTTGAGAGTGACAGTAATCTCTAGACTGTTCCCTTTTTGTTTCAGCTACGTTGGTTCTTTTTGTTGAAGATTAATCTCACATGCTCCCTCATACTCCTTCTTCCTTTAGGAGCACATCAATTACTGCAAATGCATAAGAAATAATTTGGTTCAACAGCAATACAGTTCAAAAGGACTTGGGGGGGAACCTCAGGTCACTAAATCAAACACACCTTCACTTTTAAAAATATTAGCAAGTTCTGTGTTCCTTAGTTCAGCCAAAAGATCAGTATAAAGACTACCTTGCTGAAACTGGCACAAGCAGCCACCGGATACCTTTATCACTAGGAATGGCCATTTTATTTTCCTCTCTAAACAAATGACAATCCATGGATGTTTTTTAAAGCCGATCATGAGTATTACATAAATAAAACCCCTTTACCCAACTAGACTGTGATATTATACTTGGAAAGTGTTTTGTCTTATTTTGTCTTACTTGTTTGCTTGCTTTCCAATTACTTTCCAGAAACAGGGTGCAAATTCAAACCTATTGAATTTTTAATGTTAAGATCACCTTGAATTGTATTACAAGATGCCTGCCTGAAATCAGTGCTGGTCTCCAAATGCTACCAACCACTCTGGTCTATGTCTTTTCTAGAGCACAAAGATCTTTCTAGACTCTGGAGGGAGATGCTCAGGCCCTGGAAGTGCTGTTCTGAACAGTCAGAAGACTCACCGGCAGGGACAGAACTCTATTCTCTGGGCACACCAAAGTAGCTTGAAGTCTCTGGAATTGCATTATTGGCCTAATTTTATGTCTTTGACCACAGTGTAGTACAGAATCTTGACTGCAAGTAAGAGAACCCATCTGTAAGAAACTTAGCAAAAAAGAGGATTTGTTGGAAGAATCTCACATAATCAAAAGAACAGCTGAACAACCCAGTCTTAGGAAGGATCACATAGGGTTTAAAGTAACAATTAGAACCAAGGCCTCAGGACCAGTTACATAATTTTCAGGGTCCAGTGTAAAATGAAAATGCAGGGCCTCTTATTTGAAAATTACTAAGAATTTCAAGACGGTCACAGCAGAGCATTAAACCAAGTATGGGACCCTGTGTGACTGCATGGCATATACCCATGAAGCTGGCCCTGCAAGGACTTGGGACTACTGACCTCTCTGCATCTCTCACCTTGCTTCTCTTTCCTTCACTCTCTCTTATGATAAAGCAATTCTTCTACACAGCAGAGGACACGACCACTGACAGATTCCAAGTTAAGACTTTTGGGTTTTATCATTAGAAAAGATCGACTTTCCCCTGGTCTAGTTATATGTCCACAAATCCCAGGTACAGGCTCTGATCATTCTCAGTTGGGTTGGGTTCCCACTACTGAGCCATTAGACGTGGCCTATAACATGTTTGAGCTTCTATTTGAACCTCGTGGCTGAAGCTGGAATTGGGAGGCGGTGCTGGGTAGGAAGAGCAGGTACCAGAAGAAGCACTTGCTCTTCCTTATAAGAAGAGATGATGCCGAGCAGACAGAACAGTAGATGGACATTAGATATGTCGATTAGGGCTGACTCCATAGGAAGGAGGAAGTATTTAGTCTGATGAGCTCCCCTCAATTTTGCCAACTGAATAGGCCACAGAACCTGCTATAGCTACAGGCCTCCACTAGCTCATTCATTTCTGTTAGGTCCGTCTTTTTATCTACTAAAATATCCCTTCACCTCTGGGTAGAAAGAATCAGTAACTCACTTGTAGGCACTCTACTGAGTTTTACAAACTGTAGGCTGCTACATATTAGTGGCTAGTGAAGTTAGTTTAGTGGGTTACAAGCAACATTAAAAAAATAGAATTGAAAATCATTGAACAGAAAATATCATTAGTAAGGGGAATTACTATTACATCATGATGTTGTTTTAGTTATATTGATGCATAACTATATAAAACTGAATGTAGTCTATATATGATAAAGGAATACCAGCTTGTTCTGGGTTTGCAATATGATATATTTTCTTGCTATGGATTATGGTAGAAAATAAAAAACAGTCTGACAGACATCATGGAACTCGGTGTTTGGACAACTTGTGTTCATGCTATGAGAATAATTCAAAGGCAAAAACATTTTTATCCTAGTTAATTCTTTCCGAGATCAGGATGTGAGGATAAAGTAGGTGGATCTTGAAATAATAATCTAAAGCAGTATTGTCCAATAAAAAATTATATTAATTATATATGTAATTTGGCCAGGCACAGTGGCTCATGCCTGTAATCCTAGCATGCTGGGAGGCTGAGGCGGGAGGATTGCTTGAGGTTAGGAATTCAAGACCAGGCTGAGCAAGAGTGAGACCCCATTTCTGCTAAAAATAGAAAAATTAGCTGGTTGTGGTGGTGGTGCCTGCCTGTAGTCCCAGCTACTCAGGAGGCTGAGGCAGGAGGATGGCTTGAGCCCAGGAATTTGAGGTTGCTGTGAGCTAGGCTGACACCATGGCACTCTAGCCTGGGCAACAGAGTGAGACTCTGTCTCAAAAAAAAGCCATTATAGGACTGGGTGTGGTGGCTCACGCCTGTAATCCTAACACTCTGGGAAGCCGAGGCGGGCAGATTGTTTGAGCTCAGGAGTTCGAGACCAACCTGAGCAAGAGCAAGATCCCGTCTCTACTAAAAATAGAAAGAAATTAATTGGACAACTAAAAATATATAGAAAAAATTAGCCGGGCATGGTGGC